GGAGGGTTGGACGTATACGTGCCTGGGGGAGGGTTGGACGTATACGTGCCTGGGGGAGGGTTGGACGTATACGTGCCTGCGGGAGGGTTGGACGTATACGTGCCTGGGGGAGGGTTGGACGTATACGTGCCTGGAGGAGGGTTGGACGTATACGTGCCTGGGGGAGGGTTGGACGTAATATGTGCCTGGGGGAGGGTTGGACGTATACGTGCCTGGGGGAGGGTTGGACGTATACGTGCCTGGGGGAGGGTTGGACGTATACGTGCCTGGGGGAGGGTTGGACGTGAGCAGCAAACGAATTGGGTGAAGTGATGCGTTTCTGAGAAATGTAAAGACAAAAGACAAATTGCAAAATACTCTTACCATGATATCGTTTCGCTTTGTATAGAGCTTTACTGTTGTAGACAGTCCCCCCTCACTCTCACTCCTGGAGCTGCGGCCTTCCAGTTAAGCTTCACTCCCGGACTGGTTTCGGCACAGCTCACACTGCCCGCTGTGAGCCCCATTATTCCAATAAAGACGAAGCTAGTCAACGGCCGTATATCTCGCCTTCCTCTATGCTACCCGGCAAGTTAGATCAACCCAAAAGACAGTTAAAACACCATGACTCGATAAAACTATTCGCAGAGCGGAACGTTGTCCTGAAATAAGTTTCTTGCGCAAACTTATAGCATTTGTTTTCATAAACCTGAATAGTATGAGCAGATAATTAAGCCTATTGCAGTCCTGTTTTTGTTTTTATTAATAAAAGATTGTGTGCTGTATAAGAAACACGCATTTCAAATGGATCTGGACAGACTGCAGGTCTGGTCTGACAAGTGGTTAATGGGGTTCAACCCCAGCAAGTGCAAGGTTATGAAGTTTGAGGGAAAGGCAAAGACCGCAGACAGAGTACAGGCTGTGGGGGTAGGGGAGGACTGCAAACCTCACTCAAGAAGGATCCTGGGGTGAGTATTCTGCCGAGCATTTGGCTTGAGGCACACATCAACCACACTACTACTACAGCAAATGTGCGTCTGGCAAATCTAAGACTAGCTTCGACATATCTAGATAAGGAGTCAATCACAACACTATATGCCGTGTATGCCACAGCCTGGTTTGATATGTCACCTGGTGAAGATACTTGTCCAGTTTTCTCTTGAAAAGATGTTGAATAGTCTGTGGCCACGAATGTTGATATAGTGTTCCCTTATTGCCCCTACCTCACCCCTGCTCCTCACTAGGTTTATTTTGCATTTCCTCCCATATCTCTCCAATATGTTGTTATGGCAGCGTGCAGATTTGGGACCAGGCCCTCGAATACCTTCCAGGTATATATCGTGCATCTCTCCTCCGCTCTAGTGAGTACATGTTCGAGACTTTAAGGCGTCCCCAGTAATATAAATGCTTTACTGGCTATATGTGGGCCGTTAACGATCTCTGTATTTGTTCAAACCCTAATATTTCTCCTGCCTTGAACGGGGCCGTCAATACTGAGCAATATTCCAAATGAGGGAGCACTAGCGGTTTACTGTCACCACTGTCATTATTTCCCTTGTTTTGAAAGTTTCACTCACACACACACACACGCGTCAACTTCCCCAAATACAACTCGGTGAATACACACCACATATGACTCTTGCTAGTAAATATCGGGTAGTATAGGGGCCCAGGAGCTAGATGTCGACCCTCGCAAGTGGTCGAGTACACACACACAGCACCTGGCAGTAGGTAACGGGGCAGTGTAGGCGGGGCAGTTTAATAAGCACCATGGAAGGAGGTGCTGCACTGCCTTATATGGAGTCATCTCTAGCCAAACAAACCTTACCATCATGACTCAGACTCCGCGATACACAGTATATACACTGAAAATTGTATATCTCCTTTATATACACCGAGAGATGTGCATTTTCCTGTATATGCAGTGTCAGGGGGTGATCCCTGTATATAAATCGAGGTGCACATATGCAAACTAAAAAGTACCTTCCTGTATACACAATGAAATGTTTGTATTCCTTTATATGCACCAAAAACTATATCTCCCTCTCTACGTATCTATATATGCATAGTTGAATATATCTATGTATATGCAATGAGAGCTTGTATCTCCCTCCACATACGCCAAGAGCTGTGTATTTCCCTCCATATACTCTGAGAAGTTTGTATCTTGCACCTTTTTCTGCGCTGGACTGAGGAAGCCACTGGCTGGAGGAACGTTTCCAGGATGGAGACACCCAAATATTGCACAAATCTCTCATTTGCCAAGTTCCTTGTTGTCCATATACCCCTGAGAGACCTGTATCCATATGTATATTCACTTAAAATTGAATCATTAGTTTAGGAATGAAAAATATCATTGACGTGATGTGCAAGTGGAATGTAACCCCGACACTCCACTGGATATTTAGTGGGGGGGGGGAAGGTCCACTAATCTTTTCTCTAACTTATTTTGATACATTCATTTCATTATGTTGTACCGGACGTCGGTTTCTTAACGCCTCCTGTGAAATTGTTAACTCTTTTTTCTATAGTATTTGCTAGGCTAGGCTAGGTTAGGTTAATTTAGGTTGGGTTAGGTTAGTCTAGATTATGTTAAATTGTATATACTTACAAAAGAGTACACAATTAACCACAAAAATTTTTGAAATAGCCCTGACATGTCTGGCAACGAGGTATCATCACTGTTATCATTGCATTCACGGAAAAGCGCTAACACTGGAGGGTTCACACGTAGCTTGGAGAATGGAGGATAATCATATTTGATCGGAGGGAGGGAGGCTCAGACTCCTCGGATCGAGAGACCTTCACTAGTATAAGGAGTCGTAACGTTGAGACATGACCCTGTCAAGTGCCTCTCAGTCAATTAGACAATTATCCCCTTAGTCACATCTTTTAATCAAAATCTGATGCGTGCAGATTTGAATATTGTTAATATTCGCCAAGACATCTCATTACCAGCTTACTTTTTTTATTTTTATTTGTGGTTAATATACATTTTTGTAGCATATGTAACTTACCCTAAATGGTTCAATTTAGCTTAAATTTTAACAAAAATAGTAATGCGTCAGAAGTGAATGAACGGTATTGGCGGCCAGTCATGGCGCCCTGCAGATATAAGCTGTCAAATATAATGGGGGGAAATTCTCTGGTGGATCGAGGCATAAATGGTGTGAAATTGGAGTAGGGACAAGACGCAAGTGGCGTTCCACAAGGGTCAGTTTTGCTCACCTCGTTGTTCTACGACTCATACTAGAGTAAATAGCGACGTAAATACGTTCACTGCAGACACAAATAGGTTCAGAGGACACTAGAGAAGTTCTGTTTCCCTTCAAGGAAGGGGCAGGAAGGTGTTTTGATGCTGTTGAAGGACCCTTGCTTCAAGGAACTGGCCCTACCCTCCATTGGATCAGATTTGATTGCTTGCCCCATCCCTCTCAGTCTTCAGGCGCCTCAAGACACTTACTGAGAGCTTTTTCAGGATTATAATATCATCATATATAACAGTTGCCATGAGTAATATGATATTAATGCTTCAACTGATCAAAAAGATATTTTTTAAAAACATATTTATGATACAGTTGCCAACTTCTTATGGGGCACTAAGCACATAATAAGATATAGTTCAAGATATAACAGTTTTTCAATTTATGACTGAAATTGTCACATTTCATTAAAAATAGTTAAAATATTAACATTTATACAACAAAATATTTTTTTTTTTACATGTGTTGATCAAGACGATAATTTATTCCTTAGATAAATCATAAACTAACGAGTGAGCTTCGGAATAATACGTATGCATATGTGTACCTGTACATATACATATGTGACTAATTACGTACGTAACTGCAGTGGACGGCATTATTGGTTCCTGGCCTCTTCAACCCTGACATACCCACTCTTTAAGCAGTGTATGTAATTTGCTTCCACCCCTCCCTCATTTAGCTTGTTGTACTTAATTACCACCCTGAAGAATATTTCCTAACATCCTTGTGCCTCGTACTTCAAATTCAAAACCTCGGAGAATATTGTAAGTCGTAATTACGCTTTTCCTGGTTGTCTTTAATATCACCCTTGTAAGCTCTCATAATTCCCTCAGCTCTAGGGCTGAGTTTGTTGCAAACTTTTGGACATTTTTGAGTTTCTAAACATGCTTAACCAGGTGTGGGCTGCATGATGGAGTTGCGTACTCTGTTAATCTTGGCTTATGTCGACTACAGAGTCCTAAATAATTTTTTATTAGAGCCCCTGAAGGGAATTTTGAGATTCGCTGACCTTTCATATTAAGCCAATATTATAGTCTGTGTGCACTTCTGAACTAATGTTTGGTATTATGTTCACGGCAATATCTTTCATAATGACGAATTATTATATTTAAAACACGAGCAACAATCGTGTGGGTCATGCCATGGTATCTACAGTCTCTTGTCTCTTAAGCTGTACTCCGTCTCTTGTCTTCTCTCTCCCACCCTGTTGTGTATGACCACTTATGAGGGTTAAAACTCCAGTAGCCACTTGCAGCTACTCCGTCTTTCTGTGTGTCTATTATCTTCGTTCATTATTCTGTGTATTATCTTAACATTGTAGACAAACAACGATACATAAGATTCAGTCCACTCTGACAGCTCATTTACATATATTAAGTATAGTAACGTCCGCCCTTACCCGCATCCTCTGTCTTGTTCGTTAGTTATTCCTTGCTACAGTGTGTGTGTACTCACCTAATTGTAGTTGCAGGAGTCGAAACTCGGCTCCTGGCCCCGTGTGTATATATGAAGGCACATTTGTATACTATACATCAGATACGCAGAAATGAAGTATGAAACCTCGGCTGAGCACTGCGTAAGACTTATTATATGCCAAGGTGGGCAAAGTGTACAGAGAAAACGTCAGTAGATAAAGAAAAATGGTTCTTATCATTCCTTGCCCTAATCGGGAATTCCTAGACGCTGAATGAACCCCTTTAGTTGTAGGGTAGGAGACGCTGGACGGCGGTGCCGGCAGCGTGGGTACGGCCCACACAACACTCCAGCTTCAGAACCTCTCGTGACGGCATGGCAAGTGGTTCTCTACACCTCTCTTCCGACACCCCACCTTCCCAGCAGCATGGACTATTACGGTTTTCGCGGTAACACTGCGAGTTTCTCTCTGTGGTGATAGTGCCGGTGGAGGCCACTGTGACTCGGTTAAGGGGGTCGCGTCGAGTTATTGGAAGCGAGTTTAGGTGCTAAGAAGATCGTTGGGGTTTAAATGCCATAAGAGAAGTGGATGGTTGCCAACGAGCAGATTGGACCAAAACTTGTTCCATACCCCTACTGTGTACCACTTGCCATGTGCCATAGCCATGTACTGCTGACCTGCCCAGTGTGAACCACGTCCTCGAGCCACATCGTTCGTTTTCCGACGCTTTGAAGTGCAAGAAGTCAGGTTATGAGAGGTGAAGGTAGCCTTGAATACTCGTCCCAACCCACACACTAAGTGCCTTTTTTAAAACTCCAGCCAGATACTGTAGACAGGTGTCGCTAACAAAAGTGTGTGCTTGTTCCCCGGTGCATCGTTGTAGTTACTGTGAGAGAGGATAAGGAAAGTGTGTGTGGAAAATATAAAGGGTTAGTGGGACAGATGTTAGTGTGTAGACAGTTTCTGTTGGATTTTTATTGTCAAGGTGCTAACTGCTCCTACTCTAGTACCTTGACCTAAACTCTCTACGCTGACCAGTTACGCTATTCTCAACAAAAACTTAAAATTGTTGTATGTATAGTTGCAAAATTTTGCTTGAACTCTTCTGCCCATTACGCGGTTATCAACTAAATATAACTTCAAAACCGTTATGTATGTAACTGGTTGCACAATTTAACATCCCGGTGAGGTAAAAAAAAAAAACCTGCATTGGTAACGAGTGAAAGTGAAAATTATCCAATAGCGTAGAGATCCTCTCATTGGAAGAGTCAGTGTGCATAACCCGAAACGAGGGAACTTGAAAAAGCAGAACAGGTCGGGTTATTAAGAGTGGTTTGGCATTTAAGGAGCGGAGTTATCCACTTGATCTGTGTGAGGTGTGACTAAGACAGCAGGAGCAGCAGCATCAGTACACCATGAAGGCCGTGGGCGCGGGCGTGGTGCTCCTCGACACCCACAAAGGTTACCTCCAACTTACCCCAGAAGCCCTGGAAAAACTCATCAGCCGGGAGCCAATCTCTGACCACTATGAGGTGGAACAGACGCCATTTGCTAGGTAAATATCTTGCAAATACTATTGTCTTTTGAGTTCTTCCTCATTTCGGTTGAGGTTTCAATAGCGACAATTAAATGGACTGGGTTTAAATCTAGCTGTCGAGGAATTTTTTTGGTGGTGGTGGTGATGTATATTGCTTGGTGATAGTGGGCAACCTCCTGCAATGTTGCTCACGACTTATATGGCATGATACACACTTGTTCCTATCTATATATCACATTTACACTTACAAATCTCTATACTCACGACACGATACAGTCGGATATAATAGTTTATTCAAATTCAGTATATACGAGTAAAAATGAATTATTTATATAGTTGCAATAAACATTATTATTGCATACATTGGTAGACTGTCCTCTTCAAGGAAGGTTCCTTGATGTTGGTCAGGGGCTCTTGATCTAGGGAACTGGAGCTGTGCTCCAGTTCCCCGAATTAAGCCTAAATACCTTCCATCCCCCCTACAGGCGGTGTATAATCCTACGGGTTTAGCGCTTCCCCCTTGAGGACAAATTCCAACTACTCCGTTATGTTAAACTGGAGGAGATAATAACTAGAACAGAGTATACTACTGACTCCGGCCATACAATAGAGCGGAAAAATAATGTAAGGGACCTGGGAGTAGTAATGTCTGAGGATCTCACTTTCAAGGATCACAACAGTGCCACGATCGCACGTGTAAAGAAAATGATAGGATGGATAATGAGAACTTTCAAAACGAGAGATGCCAAGCCCATGATGATCCTTTTCAAATCACTTGTTCTCTCTAGGCTGGAATACTGCTGTACATTAACATCTCCATTCAAAGCAGGTGAAATCGCAGATCTAGAGAGTGTACAGAGATCCTTTACTGCACGTATAAGTTCTGTCAAGCACCTTAACTACTGGGAACGCTTGGAAGCACTTGACTTGTACTCGTTGGAACGCAGGAGGGAGAGATATATCATAATCTACACTTGGAAAATCTTGGAAGGAATGGTCCCAAATCTGCACACAGAAATCACTCCCTACGAAAGTAAAAGACTGGACAGGCGATGCAAAATGCCCCCAATAAAAAGTAGGGGCGCCATTGGTACACTAAGAGAAAACACCATAAGTGTCCGGGGCCCAAAACTGTTCAACAGCCTCCCATCAAGCATTAGGGGAATTGCCAATAAACCCCTGGCTGCCTTCAAGAGAGCTGGACAGATACCTAAAGTCAGTGCCGGATCAGCCGGGCTGTGGCTCGTACGTTGGACTGCGTGCGGCCAGCAGTAACAGCCTAGTTGATCAGGCCCTGATCCATTGGGAGGCCTGGTCATGGACCGGGCCGCGGGGGCGTTGATCCCCGGAATAACCTCCAGGTTGATTATAATAATGGTAGATGGCGTAGAATTAACTTAAAGTAGCTCATTTACTGTGTAACTTTAACTGGGATTTAATAATTTGTTCATGTGCTTTTGGTAAAAAAATAGTGTCAAAATATAAATATATTTATTCGAACTAGCTGCCTTATAAGACACCTCGTTTTTATTTAAAGCTGTATCAAGTGTCTTCGGTTAGCCTTGAAAGCTGTGTGTAAAACATTTAATTGACGTAAATTACACCTAATTAGTTTAATAGATGCTGTTATATAAATTTTTGGTCTACCGGCTAAACTTTAATGAGTAAGCAAGTTTGTCTTGGCCTTTTCTCAAATTCTTTTTTATTAATGGCAATGCTTGCGTAAAATGAAATATTGCGTATGAACTTAATGTTATGTGGACGTTGTATTATTTGTGTGTATTGTGGTCTGAACTTTACTATCTTGTTGGACAGTTGTATAATATATAATGTACACCCCTTCAAGGGGCGTGCCTTGATGTTGGCAAAGGGTTCTTGGTCCAAGGAATTGGAGGTGCCTTACTTCCTCGGAGGGTGACTTCTTCGTGAATATAAATAATATATTGTTGTTTGGGATTAACGTGTATATGCTGTGAAGCAGTGCGTAAAAGTGTGCAGGTGCATGGGGACTTTTTTTTTTTTTAATAGATGGTAGTTTGCTTTACAGTAATTATTTATGGATCATTTATATCACAAGTCACTATTTTCAATAGTTTAAGTGTATGACGCACACATTTTGAAAGACTTGTTGTCAAACTTTAAAAAGCCATTATCGCACAGGCCAGCTAAATTTGATATCCGCGAGATTGTCGTTTAACATTTATCTTTCTTCGTAAAAGGAGAAAGGCAGGGCGGGTGCCCTGCCATTTACTCACACCTGCCGTCGACCCATCCCCCCCCCCCTCCATCTTCCCCGAAAAATCTGTATTCCATTGGGGAAACCTTATGTGGTCCCCCGAAAGTGACAGCACAATGGCATCATTGCTTTTGTTTACATACTGAGAGGACTCCAGATTCCTCCCCATCCCACCAAGAATAGTTAGGTTAGCGTAGTAAAAATATGCATGTGGCGATATATATTTAAGTAGCACAGGATGTATATTCCGAGAGGTATGTGTGTGTGTATATATACGCATGGATTTTAATTCTTAATGACCATCGTGCAATCGATAGGCTTTAACCCTGACAAACCAACCATGTGGTGAATATGACGCGTGCAACATTTAGATATCTTTATTGACAAGACATTTAGCCTGCGCAGCAGGTTTCAGTCTACTACAGAGGTAACTCATAAAATGAAGGCAGTTGAAGTGTACATATTAAGATGTACAGTCTCAACCATGAATATAATAATACTCGATTCATTTGCTGCAGTCGTGAGTTACATATTGGTGGTACGCAGAGTTAGTCGGTGGTGTTGTAAGTTGCAATGTGTGTGGTTGAGCTAGCTCACATCCTTAATGACCCTTTTGCTGCCAATCGGCTATGAACTAACCCAGCCAACCAGTCACACAACTAGTTCATGTTTTCAAGGCTTTCGAGTCTTCTAATTTCATGTGAGTAATTCTTTATAAGAATATAAGAACTGGGGAGCACTCGCTAGACATACTGGACCGTACTAGACAGGCCTTACACCCAGCCTTTCCCTAGTCAAACACCAGGGGCCAGATCAACCAGGCTGTAATGGATATGTGGGGGAGGGGGGCAACAACAGCCTGGTTGACTAGGCAGACAACAGACGAGCCTGGCTCCGTGAGTAGAAAAACTGGGAACTCATCAAAGATATATCAGAGGTCCCTTATAGTGAGTCATTATGATAGGACCACATCAAATTTATAGCCTTTCCCTTTAATTTGTGTATGCTCAGATTCCTCATTTGTCGTAATTTTTATTACTGTTCGATATTAACATACACAAATGTATACATTACGAGGAAAGTAACAGTAAAAAAAAAGTCTTAGTGCCTCCAAAGATGGTGTGCAATATTTGTAAACACGAAAGTGCTCGTGTATTTGTTAGCTTATTTTTTTCAATGAACTTAGTGATTTATTATGTGTGTGTTTGTGTATGAGAGAGAGAGAGAGAATGTTTTGTACATCATGCAGACGTTGACTCACAATGTTGTTGTTATTGTAGCTACTGGTCCAAAAGCCTTTGTCTGCCCTAGCGGCCCTCTTGAATCCTCTTGGTCCCTCCCTCCTCTTGCACTATGTTCCCCTTGTCCGAACAATGAGTGATAACAAACACCTTCTGTGAGTCATGAAATTCACGGTTGAGTGGGTGATGAAATACTGTTTCATCCCTCTCCGTATCTAGGTCTTGCTCTCTCTTTTCGCTCTCCTTCCCTCCCCATTCCCCTCCCTATTTTGTCAGTCATTCGCCTATCCACTTTCTTAATTATCACTAAATATTTTCTATTTTCACTGCTGTAGGTCACCAGTTTTCCCTCATGTTTCAGAAAACCTATTATCTTTTTTTTGTTATGCTGTCGGGAAACTGGTTCCCTTCTTACGGTATACTAAGTTAAAGCAGTTTTCGAACACACACTGCACCAGAAAACCGGTTCCCTGTGTCGTGTATTTACCAAAAATTTCGCTTTGTTGTATCAGGAAACCAGTTTTCCCCCTCAAGGCATACTGTAAACCAATTTTCCCCTCATGCTATACTAGTAAACCAATTCTCCGCTCGTGCTATACTGGTAAACCAATTTTCCGCTCATGGTATACTGGTAAACCAAATTTCCCCTCATGCTATAGTGGTAAACCAGCTTTCCCCTTACGCTGTACCAGGAAACGGGTTTCCCTCGTGGCTTACCAGGAAACTGGTTCCCCTCATCCTGTTCAAGGAAACTGGTTTCCCTCATGCTGTACAAGGAAACTGCTTCCCCTCATGCTGTATCAGGAAACTGGCTTGTATGTACTTTAACAGTAAACCGGTTTTCCCTCTGTTATAGTATAGAACCAGTTTTTTTCTCCTGTACTCTAGTATGTTTTACTGTACCAGAAAACGGGTTTCCATTCCTATGCCTTACTAGGTAACAATTGATTTCCCTTCTGCCATACCAGGAAACCGCTTGGGCCTCCTGTTCCAGGAAACAGATTTCCCTTTTCGCAAGAATTGCCAACTTTGTCCTAATATTGATTTTCGAATCTTGCGGTTAACTAATTCCCGCTGAATTTTAGTAATATATCTTTGTATACAAGGAAATTTTTATCACAGGTCACCCTGAAATTTTTATCCTAATTTACCATGAGATAGTGTGTTATATTTCACGCCTCGGTCAGATGACCAAAAGCTACAGCTGTGGGTCATCATATGACTTAAGACCCGCGTCAAAAAACACTCTTGTTGCCTGACAAACCTTACCTAACCTAGCCTTTGTGCTTGAAGCTGTAAGAAATAGAGACGGTTATTTTGCAGGTACTTCGTAGCTCAAAAGTAGAATTTTCGACTCGACCAAGGATCTGGACGCAATTCAGGGTGAGGCCAGGGCAACGCTGCTATAATTTGTTGCCCATGTTTAGCAGCAAATGGATACCTAGGAGTTTACCGACAGTTTGGAGCGTCCTAAAGAGAACCTAAGATCCTTGAAGAATTAGACACGTGTGCAGCATATGGGTATCTATTTGTAGACGTTT